TGTTCTGGGAGGGCAGAGTAGAAAGCTCTAGTACTTGAGCAATGTACTTATATATGGACCGGCAGGAAAAATATTACAAATATTGCTATCGGCGTTTAAGAAGCACAAAGAGGCTGTGGTGAGTCAACTTACAAGATCACTTTGTGGTAAAAGTTCCACCGTGAAATAAGGCCAACACGCCAGGAGTTCACTTCAAGCAGTCTTCATCTATCTTGGGATTTTGACCGGAGACTTCTTTGTCCACTCAGGATGACAAAAAAGCACATACTTCGCGAGCAGATTAACACTTGCCTCCGGTGTAGTCCTATATATACAATGCAATAAACTTTAGTCCAGACGAGAGATTACAGAGATAGGTGATAGTTCAGACTATAGTATAGAAGAAAATACACCATGTGAGCTAGACTCTAGAGAAGGCTATAGTCTGGACTAAAGACTAAAATAAGCTGTTATCCAGACTACAGAAGACACTTATGTCCAGAGATAGTTAGACCAGGCAGGGAAAATTTAAATATTGAAATAGTAGTAACTTAAGAGTACTTTTTAGGTTTTAAAGTGCTATATACTACACTATAGACTAGACCATAGAATAGACTATACTATAGGTTATAGATTAGACTATGGACTAGACTATAAACTATACTATAGACTAAACTATAAACTATACTGTAGACTAGACGGGACTGTTAACTAGATTATAGACTAAGCTTTTGTCCAGACTACAGAACAGACTTCTGTCCAGAGATAGTTAGACTAGGCATGGAAAATTTCAATATTGAAATAGTACTAACTTATAAGAGTAATTTTTTTGGTTTTAAAGTTCTATAGACTAGACTATAGGCTAGACCATAGAATACTCTATAGTATAGGTTATAGACTAGACTATGGACTAGACCATAGACTACACTATAAACTATACTGTAGGCTAGACTATAAACTCTAATGTAAACTAGACTATAGACTGTACTGTAGACTATGCTATAGACAATACTATAGGCTAGAGTATAGACTAGGCTATAGACTAGGCTATAGACCAGACTATAGACTAGACTATAGGCTAGACTATAGACTAGACTATAGGCTAGACTATAGACTAGACTATAGGCTAGACTATAGACTAGACTATAGGCTAGACTATAGGCTAGACTATAAACTAAGCTATAGACCAGACTAGACTATAGACCGCACTATATAATACTTAGTTTATAGTACAAACTACTGACTAGATTAGACTATAGACTAGATAACAGACCGCACAATACTGTTTCCCCCACTAGATTAGAGTTCATAGAGCGGCCTACATTTCTTACAACTACAGCGCCCTAATAAATTGAAACTTATAATATCTAGTATTTGTAATTATTTACTTAATATGAAGAAAAAAACGATATTTTTCTTTCATTACCAACAAAATAAATATTTGTTTGTTTAAAATTTTTTTTCCAACGAAAATTTTCCAATATTCATATTTCAATTGTTTATTATTGTTACGTTTTTCTATTATTTTTCTTTTAGTTTTCTTTAATTTTTTTTTCATAAACTACTTGAATTCAATTTATTCTATCTTTTAGCGATTTTCGAAATCAACTTTTGTGTTTTTGAAAGAACTTAAAGTAAATTTAATATAACATTTGTAACACAAAGAAATGAGTCATAAAAAAAACTTTTTTTTATAAAACTAAAATTTTTAATAATTTTTTTTTTTAGAATTTTGGACCAAAAATTTTAGCATATTTTTTTAATACGTCTCAACTTGCCTAATAGAAAAAGTTTATAACACTCAATATTTTTGCATTTATAAGTAAATACTTATTTAAATTTTTGTTTTTATATACAAAAAGTGTTAAATATATTCATTTATTTAATTATTGTATACAACATTTGCAGTCTATGATTTATTATGATTTTGTTTTGTTTCAGTTAATTTAATTTCAATTCATTGTCTATTTTATTGTCGAATTTTTCTCTTAAAGGGAAGTGCTAAGTTTCCGCTGTTTATGAAAAACATTTTATTAGAAAAGTACAAATGCCAAAATATACAATGATATTTAATAAAACATTATTCCTACTGTTTTATTGTTAATTTCTATTGAAAATATCTGCAAATGTAATTTCCAAAATCAGAAACAGAAAATATTAAGAAAAAGCAAAAATCTTGTAGTAAGTTATAAATAAATCATAAATTTTGAATATTATGCATTTAAATTTAAATGAAAATAAACAAAAAAAAAACAGTTTTAATTATTTTTGGATGAGCAAAGTTCAACAAATTGTGTTACAATAAATATTTATTTTAAATTAAATTGTTGTTTTTTTTTTCATTTTATTGTTTTTTGCTGTTGTTGTGTTACTGTTGAAAATGTAAAAATGATTTACGTTTTGCACTAAAACGAATGGAAAAGTTTCTATCAGATCGCATTCTTTGTTTTTCATTTCATTTTTTGTTGCTGTTACAAGATGACTTTGAATGTACATTAAGAATATTTTTTTTTTAATTTTTTGAAATTTAGATAAAGCTACAATTTATTAGAAAATATGGAATCAAGTCAAGTTGTGGTGGCAAAATATATGTTGAATAGAACGAAAATAATCGTATACATATCGCTCTTTTGATACAACATTGGCATAACTCAAAACTTATTATTTTTATGCCCACCATCAAAAATGATATACCCCCTATCTTTGTCCTAAAACGATCTAGCCATGTCCGTCTGTCCGTCCGTCTGTCTGTCTGTCTGTCCGTCTGTCTGTTGAAAACACGATAGAATCCAAACGAGAACAGCTAGAGAGCTGAAGTTTTGCACAGAAGTTTCTAGTTGATGTAGATTATTTGGTATTGAAAATGGGCAGTAACGGTCCAGGATGTCGCCTAGCCCCCATATAAGGTCCCCTTCAGAAAATGACTTTAACGCTCATAACTGGCTACAAGAAGCATATATAGCAATACAATTACGCATAAACATGTTCTATAGGAACCTAAATCTCTTTGTAAAATTTGTAAGGATCGGCCCATAATTGACCCAACCCGCCATATAAGGTCCTCTTCAGATTATGACTTTAACGTTCATAACTGTCTAAAGGAAGCATCTATAGCGGTGAAATTCGGCATAAGCATCTTTAATAGGAACCTAAATCTCTTTGTAAAATTATATAAAGATCAGCCCATAATGGACCCTACCCGCCATATAAGGTCCTCTTCACAAAATGACTTTAACGCTCATAACCGTCTAAAGAAAGCATCTATAGAGATGAAATTCGGCATAAGCATGTTTTATAGGAACTTAAATCTCTTTGTAAAATTATATAAGGATCAGCCCATAATTGACCCTACCTGCCATATAAGGTTCCCTTCAGAAAATGACTTTAACGCTTATAAATGTCTAAAGAAAGCATCTATAGCGATGAAATTTAAGTTTTATAGGAACTTAAATCTCTTTGTAAAATTTTGTAAGGATCGGCCCATAATTGACTCTACCCGCCATATAAGGTCCCCTTCAGAAAATGACTTTAACGTTCATAACAGTCTAAAGGAAGTATCTATAGCGATGAAATTCGGCATAAGCATGTTTTATAGGAGCCTAAATCTCTTTGTAAAATTATATAAGGATCAGCCCATAATGGACCCTGCCCGCCATATAAGGTCACCTTCAGAAAATGACTTTAAAGCTCATAACTGCCTAAAAAAGCATCTACAGCGATTCGACATGAACATATTTTATAGGAACCTAAATCTCTGTGTCAAATCTTATAAGGATCGTAGATAATTGACCCCTACCTCCCATACATATAAGATCCCCTTCAGAGAATGACTTTAACTCTCAGTACTGCCTTAAAAGTATGAGTACAGCAGAAGTGATTTTCTGAATGAGGAGTTATATGGGCCAAAGGTAACTATGGTCCTATCCGTATAAGTTTTGGTAGAGCGATTTACGATGACATTAAAGTTATTTATCATTTTCTGGGGGTTGGGGTCAAATGAGACTATATCATTACGAAAATCGGCAGTATCATTTAAATTTATAAAAAACTAAGATTGTAATATAATTATAAGCTTAAAAGCCCTATTTAGGGGGTGCGGCTATATGGGGGCTAGGCTAAATAATAGACCGATTTTAACCATTTTCGTCCTTGAGTCAAAAGAAGAGTATATGCCAAATTTCATCAAATTATCTGGAAAATTACGACCTGTGGAGTACGCAAAGGTTTACATGGATACACAGACGGACATAGCTTAACCGATTCAGACAGTGATTCTGAGCCGTTTGGTATACTTTAGGGTGGGTTTAGAATCAACATTTTTGAGTGCTTTTTTGTTTAGAGCTCGGTCCACAATTAACTCAAGCGCCCATTAAACTTCTAAGATCTTAGTCCATATATAGAACCAGTTTCAAAAACTAATTTAGTTTAATTCGATCGCGATGAGGTTTCCAGGGGATGACGCTACGTAAACTCGTTAACACTTCCTCTTTACGCAGGTGAAGTTTCATTAGAATCGGATAAACCGTTTAAAAGTTGCAGAATTATTTCTCTTTTTTATTTCTATACCACCAGCATTTGGCGATAGCATGATTTCTAGAATGAGTCCTATCTAGATCGTGCGATTTGACAAAACCTATCTTAGTTTTACTCATAAATATGTTTTTTGATCTGCCCAAATATCTCTTCTATTTGCCAGATATCGCCCGTTAAAATTTTTACCAAAAACTAAAAGAAAAATCTTTTTTTTTTTAATTTAGATTAAGATATCTAAATGAATTTTGTCACCGATGTATTGAACTTTCAGATGACATCAAATATCTATCTTCTCTATATATATATATGTATATAAAAAACACAGACGGACGGACATAGCTAAATCGTTTATGAGCCGATTTATATACTTTAAGGCGGGTGTAGGACCAATAATTTGGGGTGTTGCAAACATCAGCACAAACGCAAAACCACTATAGTGGTGTAGGGTATAAATATATAGTTTAAACATAAAAACTAAAAGCACTTACCTCCTTTTCAAATTCCTCTCGTACATTAGCACTGCCCAAGGAGCTCGATTGTGTGGGAATGTAACCAAACGATTGTATAGCCGGCAAACGTTTCACTAACAAAGGTCCTTTAAATATATTACCACCATTCGAGGCACAATTACTGCCGTAATGATAATGTTGACCGGCAACAGCTACACCACCACTACCGTACAGTAGCGAAGAAGGTGATGATGAATTCGAATTATCGTGTTCGAAATGAAATATCGTAGTCTGATCACTGCAATTCGATTGCACTTCATCGAGACATTTTTGTGATGACGATGTATGAGATTCTAAAGTGTCCGTACTCAACCAGACCGGACTGGAGAGACGATCGTGATGTAGAACTATGGGTGAAGAATAGGATTTCTTTTGCGGTAAAAGGGAACGTGTGCTAAGGGCAGGTGATGTGGGTGAGTTTAGTAGGGGAGGTGATGTATTATGGTTGTTATTGTTTTGTTCGTTTATAACACTCGCGTTCGAAGAAGGAGTTATTTCTTCGATTTCTTCTTCGGTTTCTTCGTTTATTTCTTTTGTTATGGTATGTTTGGGAGAATATTGAAATTTACGCGTTAAAGTGGGTGTTAGTTTTAGATTGAGAGAAGGACTATGACATTTGGGTGTGGAGTCTGTGTCCAGTGAAGCGCGTCGATAGTTTGTGACCGGTAATTGGGTTAGAAATGAGGACTTTAAACGTCCATGATTATCATAACGTAAAGTTCGTTTGGGTGTGGAATATTCACTTTTATTTAGGGTATTGTTATTATTGTTGTTGTTATTATTATTTATATGACCATTGGTATTTAAAGGGTTAAAACCGTTTTTATGGGAGTGATTTAATAATTCTTCAAAATTTTCCGTTTGCTGAAGATGTTCGTTTATTGCACTGTTATTTATAGTTTCAGAGGACTTTTGCTCTTGATTACGATTGCGATACGAGGGAAAACAATTCAATAATTCACATCTCTCGGGAGTTATAGATCTCTCCTGAGAACGCACACTAGGTATTTCGCGCGGCAGAGATTGTTGTTGTATTAGCGAAGATTGTTTTTCAAACTTTTGCAATTTACGATAAAACTTTTGAGGATCATACGAAGATGACTCCTTATCGTCTAAGTCCGTTATAGGTTTAGGCGGCACTGGCGGGGCCGTTTTCTGAGAACGTACAGAATTTCTTATGTACACTTGACGGGCAAAGGAATACGTATCAAAATTACTGCCGTAATTACGCGGCAGGGAGGAGGACAAACTACAATCGTTTAAATTGAGATCAACCGGAGCAAAGGTTTCATTACGCACAGGTATTTGAACCGGTTTTGTGATATTGTTATTGTAATTATTAATATTATTGTTGTTGTTGTTGTTGCTAGCAACATATGGTATAAACTGATCACTATGGGATTTATCAATTGTATAACAACAATTTGTAGGCGTTTGTACACTAGGCGCGCGTGACGTTTTATTATGATCCAAATCAATATAATAACGATCGCGTTTTTGTTGCTGGTTCAGCGGCTGCTGTTGCTGTTGATATTGCTTTTGTTGTTGTTCGTGTTCTTTTTGTATATATTCATTTTTATTTTTAAAATTATTCGTTTCGTTGTGCTGTTGTTGTTTAGTTGTTGTCGAATTTATATTTTCTTTTAAAACGTTGTCGTCATAAGTTTCCTCAACATCATTACTCACACATTCCGTAAACCGTTTGATTTGATTTTCATTTTCACTAGAAGACAATGGCGACTGCGACGACGAAAATTTATCATTCACATTCACTACGATGCCAATATCTTCATCCGTTACAAAGCGATACGACGACAATTCTGAGACTGTTTCCGAATCTGATCGCTGATAATGATCGGAGCCAAGTGAGGTGGATTTGGAATAATTTGTATTTTGGCCATTATTTGTTCTAGTTGTTAAACGATGGCCATTCGATGGCTGTGATTGTTGTCGTAGACTGCCCATACTCTCACAACAATGCTCACAGCGTAGAAATCCACCTCCTCCGCCAGCACCACCACGAGGTGTATTCGTTATTTTATGTTCTTCTGAATTGATCGTGTTGTTTTTTTGCTCTCCATTTTCATTTTGGTATGAGCAGGTTTGTAGAAAACATCCCTGGGTTTTGGACATTTTATTGTTGTTATTATTATTGATAATTGTTGCACATATTGTTGCATTGTTGCTGTTGTTGTTATTGTTTGCAAAATGTTGCTGATCATTTGCATGGGAGTTGGTAGTGGTGGAATTGTCAAGTGGTAGATTGTAAGGTGTTGATGTTGTTGTTGTTGTCTCCTCATAACGTACCGAACGATGTTTCAACAACATGGATCTTGTTGATGTGTTGAGTTTCTTTGATGTTGGTGATGATGTTGATAATGTTGGTGTTGCTGGTGATGTGGGTGGTGTTGTTGTTGTTGCTGTAGGTGAGGATGAAAGTGGTGATGTTAAGTTCGTTGGTGTTTTAAGTGTTTGTGTTTGTAATTGTTGTCTTTTTCGAAATTGTTCATACGTTAAAGGCATGTGTATGATGGCTTCCGTTGTTAACGTTGTTTGCTGTTCATTTAATTTCTTATAGCTTGATCTAACAGGTCTTCGTAGTTGACTTAGATTTGGTGTTGCCGGCAAAGATATAGACTTTTTCGTTGAGTGTGTTGCTATTTCTGTCAAACTAATGTCAATTCTATTTTTAGCTATAGAATTTTATTTAGAAATCGTAAAACATAAAAACGCATCACAGAGACATGGACAAGAATAAGTATGCATCATCAACATCCCAATAGCCCCATCAGAGGAGTCATTAAAATGCATCCCGTAATATAAAAATAAAAATTTTGTTTTTTTGTTCAACATCATTTTTTCCATTATTCAGCATTCAGTCATACAGCAAATGTTGGACAAAATAACGAAAAATGTTCATATTTATGAAATGAAAAGAGAAGGAAAAAAAAAGAAAATTTACAAATTTTTGAAAATAAAATGTTTTTAGAAATTATTTTTAAAAATACATTTTTGCTAAGCTTACAAATAAATTGTATTTATTATACTTTTTCTTTGGTACGTTTGTATTAAGTATTTTCCTACAAACGTTATCAGTGTGTGTATTTTTTCAAATAAAAGAAAATGAAGAATAAGAATGAAAACACCCATAAAGAGTTTAAATTTATATTTAAATTATGACCCATATTTAATAAGACAATTTTTCTATTGAATTGTTTTTTTATTTTTGGTGTTTCTGAAAACGTTTATTTTTATTAAATCGGTTGTTTATTTATGTTTTAGTACGCTCAACTATTGCGATGAGGTGTTTTTATTATAAAATTATTTGGTGTGATTAATTTTTTAATTAAAAGTGTAAAACACTGGGAAGCTTTAAATATTTTACAGTAATAGATAAATTATTACAAATTTGAAAATATATTTCTATCTAGTCTGTGGATACTACTGCACATACTATTCAAAAGACTAATCATTGGCCCATAGTCTATGGGCCATAGATGAGCCTACTTCATACGCGTTAAATCCTTTGGGTTTCCATCCGACTTTCTGAATGTGTAACTAGAACTGAACCAGAACAGACCTACAACTAGAACTGAACTAGAACTGAACTAGAACTGAACTAGAACTGAACTAGAACTGAACTAGAACTGAACTAGAACTGAACTAGAACTGAACTAGAACTGAACTAGAACTGAACTAGAACTGAACTAGAACTGAACTAGAACTGAACTAGAACTGAACTAGAACTGAACTAGAACTGAACTAGAACTGAACTAGAACTGAACTAGAACTGAACTAGAACTGAACTAGAACTGAACTAGAACTGAACTAGAACTGAACTAGAACTGAACTAGAACTGAACTAGAACTGAACTAGAACTGAACTAGAACTGAACTAGAACTGAACTAGAACTGAACTAGAACTGAACTAGAACTGAACTAGAACTGAACTAGAACTGAACTAGAACTGAACTAGAACTGAACTAGAACTGAACTAGAACTGAACTAGAACTGAACTAGAACTGAACTAGAACTGAACTAGAACTGAACTAGAACTGAACTAGAACTGAACTAGAACTGAACTAGAACTGAACTAGAACTGAACTAGAACTGAACTAGAACTGAACTAGAACTGAACTAGAACTGAACTAGAACTGAACTAGAACTGAACTAGAACTGAACTAGAACTGAACTAGAACTGAACTAGAACTGAACTAGAACTGAAGTAGAACTGAACTAGAACTGAACTAGAACTGAACTAGAACTGAACTAGAACTGAACTAGAACTGAACTAGAACTGAAGTAGAACTGAACTAGAACTGAACTAGAACTTAACTAGAACTGAACTAGAACTGAACTAGAACTGAACTTGAACTAGAACTGAACTAGATCTGAATTAGCCCATAAGCAATCCCACAAACTAATCCAAAAACTAGTCCGCAGCCTACTTCATTTCATACCTGTTCGATTTTTTGGGTTTCCATCCGATTTTCAGGAAGTGTAATGCTAATGATATTTTTAACATTTTTTTTCTTAATTTTCACTCAAAATAACAAAATGTCGGAAAATGCGATTTTTTGCAATTGTGTCCAGAGCCACTGCATACTACCACATACTATCATTAACTATGGAAATATTGGCTATTCTTAATAAATACTTAACATATCAAAAGGATTAAATTAACACTTTATTTATTAAAAATAATCTGGTAAAATATGGTATCAAAAAAGTCAATGTATTATAGGCCTATTTTCTATAATCCTTAATTATCTAAAATTAAATGCAAAACTCACCTGAAGCATGTGAACTTTGTCGTATAATCTGTTTCCTTTTCAAGTGCCAACACGACGAAGAGTTTGTTCTCTGGGAACAACAGCACAGATTGGAACCATTCGACGACCTTAAACTGCAGGCGTCATTTTGACACAAATCGTTGACATAAGCGATGAGATCGTCATCGTTGGAACGCAAACCATGCTGGCGGCGTTCGAGTAAAGGAATATAAGTGACATTAATGGAATTTGATCTGAAATATAGTAAAATAGAAAATATTTTAAATAATTAAATAAATAAGAAAATATAAATAAAGCTTTAAATTGCATTAGATTTATTAAATTAATAAAACAAAGTGTTTTTATTTCTAAAGACTCCTCTGTGCTGTACTTGTTTGTTAAGTTGCCAGTGTAAGTATTACTGCCTTAACGTATGCTGTGAGTTTTAGCTGGCATTTTATATTTTAAACCAAAAATAATTCATTGTTGCATAAAGAAAAAAAGAAAAACAATTAACAAAAATATTAGTGGGGTAGACTTTTAGTAAAATTAATTTTCACACACACATTTACTCACACATACTTATTTGTATGTTTAGGTGAGTGTGTGATGTAGGTGTTTACACAACAAACATGCTTATTTTATTAGAATTAATCATGCATTTTATTTTTATTTCTTTTCTTATATTATTTTTTGTTTATATTAGTTTTGTTTAATCTCCAAAATAAAAACAAATAACAAAAATAACATTTATTTGTAGTTGCTGTTGTTGTAGTTTTTGCATAAGTTCACCTGTTCCACTTGTAAACGGGTAATTTGCTCGCTGTAGTGTTCTCGAAATTTGCTCGTGTAGACATCGTGGCGATTTCTTCATTTTGTTTTGTTGCACTAGCTTCGGGCATTTTTTCATTTATGTATGTGTGAGAGAAATTGGGAGAAAACTAAAATTAAATTTTTTTTGTTTAATTTCAATTATATAAACATCTGTGTATTTTATTGAAACTATTTATTTCAAATGATGTGCGAAATTTTCTATTTCACATTTAGTGTATATTTCTTTAAATTTAAAAATCAAAAAAAAAATAATTTCGGCTATATTTATAGACTGGGTGTTAATGGACAATTTTTGGGAGTACTTCCATGGGGTATTGTTAGTTAAATAAAACTTTTGTTATATTTCACGAACGAACGTTCGAATATTAATTTTTTGCAAGAACTGTAGTGAAGAAGAAACTGAAATAGATCTGAGCTAGAACTAAGCTAGAACTAAGCTAGTACTAAACTAGATCTGTACTAGAACTGAACTGAACTAGAACTGAACTAGAACTGAACTAGAACTGAACTAGAACTGAACTAGAACTGAACTAGAACTGAACTAGAACTGAACTAGAACTGAACTAGAACTGAACTAGAACTGAACTAGAACTGAACTAGAACTGAACTAGAACTGAACTAGAACTGAACTAGAACTGAACTAGAACTGAACTAGAACTGAACTAGAACTGAACTAGAACTGAACTAGAACTGAACTAGAACTGAACTAGAACTGAACTAGAACTGAACTAGAACTGAACTAGAACTAGAACTGAACTAGAACTGAACTAGAACTGAACTAGAACTGAACTAGAACTGAACTAGAACTGAACTAGAACTGAACTAGAACTGAACTAGAACTGAACTAGAACTGAACTAGAACTGAACTAGAACTGAACTAGAACTGAACTAGAACTGAACTAGAACTGAACTAGAACTGAACTAGAACTGAACTAGAACTGAACTAGAACTGAACTAGAACTGAACTAGAACTGAACTAGAACTGAACTAGAACTGAACTAGAACTGAACTAGAACTGAACTAGAACTGAACTAGAACTGAACTAGAACTGAACTAGAACTGAACTAGAACTGAACTAGAACTGAACTAGAACTGAACTAGAACTGAACTAGAACTGAACTAGAACTGAACTAGAACTGAACTAGAACTGAACTAGAACTGAACTAGAACTGAACTAGAACTGAACTAGAACTGAACTAGAACTGAACTAGAACTGAACTAGAACTGAACTAGAACTGAACTAGAACTGAACTAGAACTGAACTAGAACTGAACTAGAACTGAACTAGAACTGAACTAGAACTGAACTAGAACTGAACTAGAACTGAACTAGAACTGAACTAGAACTGAACTAGAACTGAACTAGAACTGAACTAGAACTGAACTAGAACTGAACTAGAACTGAACTAGAACTGAACTAGAACTGAACTAGAACTGAACTAGAACTGAACTAGAACTGAACTAGAACTGAACTAGAACTGAACTAGAACTGAACTAGAACTGAACTAGAACTGAACTAGAACTGAACTAGAACTGAACTAGAACTGAACTAGAACTGAACTAGAACTGAACTAGAACTAAACTAGAACTGAACTAGAACTGAACTAGAACTGAAATAGGACTAAACTAGAACTGTATATGAATTATAAGTACTTAAGTAGAATTGAAGTTTTTCTTAACTTAACAAAAACGATCTTCATATTCTCGGTATAATACAAACCCGGCGTCAATAGTTATAATCCTATAATACGATGCGAACCTCTGGTGAATATCATATAGAATCATTAGTAAAAAGTGAAATAGTCCAACTTTACTCGCTTTGGAGGCGATACGATCAGCTTATTACTAGACATTATTTGAGTTAAAGTTTTAGCATTGACATTTTAATTCGACCCACATTACATTTATTGTGTTCAAAATTCATTAAATTTGCATATACGCATAACTATCATCCAACAAATTTTATATTTATATTCATTACTCAATAAATTTTACATTTTATTTGATGCATAATTATTTTCTTTTCATTACCCCAAAAAGCCACACAACAATATTTAAATTTCATCCCACACTCATCATTCAAATGATTTTCACATTTTATTTAATTTTGTTGTTTTTCTTCTTAAACTTTCATCTGTTTATAGATGATAATTTGTTTATGTCTATTTATGAACATTTTTGTTTAACAAACATTTATTTATTCTTTCCATTTTCAAAAATATGAACAAATAATTCATAATGAAAATGTGGTGTTAATTCTAACACTTCTCAATAACAAAAACAGAAATAAGAAAACCCTACCAAACAACAACTGTATTAACCAATAATAATAAACAACAACAACACCTACAACAACATATCAAAATAAAGAAATTTTGTTACCATTTTTAACACACACTACCGATCGACCGGCATATTGTTTGTGTTGTCGTTGTTCAAAACTATTGCTTTGTTGTGTGTGTTTATTTTCCCTCAGAAGAAAATTCCCGTTTTTCTTTCATATCACTCACTTATTATGCCTTTCTCTTTCATTCTCTTGTTCTCATGTTTTTTGTTGTTTTCAAGCCTTTCAAATGTAAACAAATCATTATTATTATTGTTGTTTATTGTATAAGTTTGCTTGTATGTTTTATAATATTGTATGTGTGTAGTGTTCTTTTTGTGAATTTTCCTAATGGCAAAACGTGCTTTATTTTTATAACACACTGTAGACACAAAAAATGAATAGTGTGTGGTTGTTGGTTTGATTGCACTTTCAATTTAAATGTTTATTTATGGTGGAATTGATTTTGTATTTTTCATCTTTACATTTTATTGTAGATCAAGTGCAGTAAAGACATTAAAATATGCATTGTTGTTTTTTTTAAGATTTTTCTGATAAATAAATTATTGGAAGGAAGGTGTACATGATTGGTTGATAGGTTGGCAACTAGAACTTAATTAAAACTGAACTAAAACTAGAACTGAACTAGAACTGAAATAGAACTGAAATAGAACTGAAATAGAAACTGAAATAGAACTGAAATAGAACTGAAATAGAACTGAACTAGAACTGAACTAGAACTAGAACTGAACTAGAACTAGAACTGAACTAGAACTGAACTAGCCCTGAAGCTAAAGAACTGAACTAGAACTGAAACTAGATAACTGAACTAGAACTAGAACTGAACTAGAACTTAACTAGAACTGAACTAAACTGAACTAGAACTGAACTAGAACTGAACTAGAATAACTGAACTAACGAGAACTGAACTAGAACTGAACTATAACTGAACTAGAACTGAACTAGAACTGAACTAGACTGAACTAGAACTGAACTAGAACTGAACTAGAACGGAACTAGAACTGAACTAGAACTGAACTAGAACTGAACTAGAACTGAACTAGAACTGAACTAGAACTGAACTAGAACTGAACTAGAACTGAACTAGAACTGAACTAGAACTGAACTAGAACTTAACTTGAACTGAACTTGAACTGAACTAGAACTGAACTAGAACTGAAATAGAACTGAAATAGAACTGAACTAGAACTGAACTAGAACTGAACTAGAACTGAACTAGAACTGAACTAGAACTGAACTAGAACTGAACTAGAACTGAACTAGAACTGAACTAGAACTGAACTAGAACTGAACTAGAACTGAACTAGAACTGAACTAGAACTGAACTAGAACTGAACTAGAACTGAACTAGAACTGAACTAGAACTGAACTAGAACTGAACTAGAACTGAACTAGAACTGAACTAGAACTGAACTAGAACTGAACTAGAACTGAACTAGAACTGAACTAGAACTGAACTAGAACTGTACTAGAACTGAACTAGAACTGAACTAGAACTGAACTAGAACTGAACTAGAACTGAACTAGAACTGAACTAGAACTGAAACTAGAACTGAACTAGAACTAGAACTGAACTAGAACTGAACTAGAAACTGAACTAGAACTGAACTAGAAACTGAACTAGAACTGAACTAGAACTGAACTAGAACTGAACTAGAACTGAACTAGAACTGAACTAGAACTGAACTAGAACTGAACTAGAACTGAACTAGAACTGAACTAGAACTGAACTAGAACTGAACTAGAACTGAACTAGAACTGAACTAGAACTGAACTAGAACTGAACTAGAACTGAACTAGAACTGAACTAGAACTGAACTAGAACTGAACTAGAACTGAACTAGAACTGAACTAGAACTGAACTAGAACTGAACTAGAACTGAACTAGAACTGAACTAGAACTGAACTAGAACTGACTAGAACTGAACTAGAACTGAACTAGAACTGAACTAGAACTGAACTAGAACTGAACTAGAACTGAACTAGAACTGAACTAGAACTGAACTAGAACTGAACTAGAACTGAACTAGAACTGAACTAGAACTGAACTAGAACTGATCTAGAACTGAACTAGAACTGAACTAGAACTGAACTAGAACTAAACTAGAACTGAACTAGAACTGAACTAGAACTGAACTAGAACTGAACTAGAACTTAACTAGAACTGAACTAGAACTGAACTAGAACTGAACTAGAACTGAACTAGAACTGAACTAGAACTGAACTAGAACTGAACTAGAACTGAACTAGAGCTGAACTAGAACTAAACTAGAACTGAACTAGAACTGAACTAGAACTGAACTAGAACTGAACTAGAACTGAACTAGAACTGAACTAGAACTGAACTAGAACTGAACTAGAACTGAACTAGAACTGAACTAGAACTGAACTAGAACTGAACTAGAACTGAACTAGAACTGAACTAGAACTGAACTAGAACTGAACTAGAACTGAACTAGAACTGAACTAGAACTGAACTAGAACTGAACTAGAACTGAACTAGAACTGAACTAGAACTGAACTGGAACTGAACTAGAACTGAACTAGAACTGAACTAGAACTGAACTAGAACTGAACTAGAACTGAACTAGAACTGAACTAGAACTGAACTAGAACTGAACTAGAACTGAACCAGAAACACATCTAACACCTTTCCCTAAGAAGGGTGCCTCAAATTCACTACAACTTAGCGTTTTTTCCATTTAAATTGTAAATGTAAATGAACTTTGTTTATATGTTTAGTAAGTATTCCGCATGTTG